AAACTTTATCTTCAACTTAAATTCGAACTTATCGAAAGTATTTTAGAAACTCCAAAGCTTAAACCTCCGAAGAAGTAGAGTGTGATTAATGAATAAAAACAATTTCGTTAGTAAATATTTGAAACAAAGGACATCAATGAAAGTAATGGTAAATAGAAGATAAGAAAAAATATTTTGGCAGAAGTGGACGAATGATAAGAAAAGAGAGTAATAAAGAATGTCGAAGCAGAGAGAAGTTCAAATAGTGCAGATGGATTGAATACTAAGTTCCGTAATGGCAGATATCCAACTTTGAGAATTAACCTACAAAGCTACGAGATTGACATCACAACCGCCTTTTATTTGTCAAAATCGTTACTACTACATATTTATATCTTTACTAAGGACGATCAAAGTCGAGTGTTGTAGATTAACGTATTTAAATAGGCCTATATATATTTCATATGATTCTAATAATATCGATTAAAATGTAACAAAAGCAAAGCGCAAAACCTCAGTTGCGTAGGCTTTTTTATTCACGTATCAGTATGTTAGGCTTTTTAAATATAACGTGTTCAGAGCTGTAATGAAGGGTTCTTAGTTACTTTACCTGCATTTCTAGAAGATAATCGATAAATAAATTATCTTTCTACAGTTTGCCTCTTTAGTGCAAACGTCCTTAAAATTCGGACATTTTTACTCATAAGAATTATAAGAATTTTTTAACTAAGGGTATAAAGTCGAACTTTCCTGCAGTTCGACTTTATACTTGTAATTGTCTTTCTACTTTCTACTTCTTCAGAGGGTACACTACGATGAAGTCCAATATAAAACGATACGTGGAATGCCATTTATGTTATTCGTGGCTTTTGAATTGTAAATGAAAGTGATATCTTCACTATCGACAATCCGATACTATCAGATAAAAAGTATTTTGCATATTTCACACATTTTCCAATGAAAAGTATGAAAATTTTCACCAAAATACGGAAATAAAATGAGTATTCCTATATTTCAATTAGGATGTCAGCGACGTTTAATTCATTTTTGAAAATATTTTAATAGGAAAATTGAAAAATATACAGTATATATTACGAAACAAATCTAATAATAATACTAAACGTTTATTTAATTTAGATTTAAACGTCTTATTAACTTAGAATTTTTTAAAATGTATTTGAGAAAGTGCTCTTTTCTTCCGCAGATGATAGATAAGTTATCCGTTTCCTAAATCTTTTTCCTGTTTTTATAAAGTCATTCGACGAAAGACATCACTCCGTAAGGACTTATTAAATCGAAGCAGCTGTCTTTCTTAATTCACAGCTGTTTTCGATGCCCCCACTAAGTAGCCGTGTGACGTATCACGAGCGGGTTATGTCGTTTATATTCTGGCAGAGTACAATGCCATTGTCATTTTGGTGTCACTTTTAAACCCATTGTTCTGCATGTGTCGTTGGCTTTTGTTAAAATCACAGTTGTACCTATATACGTTCTCGATCTCCAGATATAAAAAGAACAAGGTTTAATTCAAACTCTCGACGTGGCTTCAATTTAAGATTATAAATCTCTTGACAAAAAAGTCGAGACGTTATTCCAATATGTTACAGAAAATGAAAAATGTCTATTGTATTACCTGGCAATATTTACTTGTTTTTAATTCAGTTTTATAAAGTTAAATTACTGATGCTTATGTTGTATTAACAATTTCTAATTATACTTGTTTTAATTAGAAATTTTCCAAGTTTTAAGTTTATTTTTAAATGCAGTCTTTACTAATATATAAGGTTAACACTGTATAAGTTTATATACTTTAACGAATGCTGAATCAGAGTTTTTATTGAAAATATCATTCAATATCAATGATTTAGTTGCTATATATTTCAAAACAACATAATTTAGACATATATATTATGATAAGTCTTTGAGGCATTTGACATCATTTCGAGTTTTAGATTGTTCAAGATAAGTATTTAATGGCATTCTTGAACAGACGAAGTGAAATGTTCACCAAGAAACGGGTTTAGACTATTGTATACATTTCTTCACTTTTCTTAATTTTTGCAATTTTTCTATTAAAAGGGCACGTTTGAATTTGTGATTATCAAAATGTATAATCTACGCATCCTGTGTACAGATACGGTTCTAGCCATATTTTGGGTGTTGGCGGATTCATATCTTTTACTACTTTCAAGGTGAAGGCCGACTGAGAGACATTCAGACGACGTAATTAATATCTATGGATTCTATTCACAATCGAGGGTTTTTTTAAAACTCTTTCCCACCCTACGGGCACTAAGATGGCCTTTTTAGCCAGCCCATTATGGGTTCGGCTAGATCCATAAGTCCCACTATAAGAGCGGCCGGGTGATGAAGAACGGAGTCCGATATATCCGGACGGACCACCTCCGAAAAATTTCGAGAGGTTTTTCGACCCGTCCGGATTCGATTCCGGATTCTCTAGAACCATAGGCTATCACTTTAACTGCTCCGCCACTCGGCCGTTTACAATTGAGGGCTAGTAATATTTATAATACAAATAGAAGTTACAAAGTATTTTATGTATATATTTGTGTTTATATTCTAACATATTGTTTGATTGAAGTACTCTTTTTTCCTTTGCAATCCATTTTATAAAGAAGATCATAAAACTTAGTCGAGTAGAGAACAGGGCCGTCGAGAGCTTTTATGGGACCCAAGTAGAGAGGGTCCATGAAAGCTCGGCTCCACACCCTTTTGTCATTTTTCTTTGAACAAATGAATTACGTAGAATGTTTCTTCATCAATAAAAAAACAATCTCGACGATTGTATTTTTGTTAGTAAAAAATTATTATAGAAGCAGGAACAATTATATCTCGCTAAGTTTTCCCTAGACTCGAAGAAAATTTCTCGTTTTTTCTTCTCGGCGACTCTTGTAGAAAAGCAAATTTTACTCAAACACAAAATTCATGTTGAGGAAATTTCAGTAATTTTTTAAATTCATATGAAAAGCCATTATATCAATACATTATGCAAATTATTAATCTGGTTTCTTTTCTTTTCTGGGGGGAAATGTCTTTTCCTTGTATTAAAATTTAATAAACAAATATTTGAAATATTTGTTAAGCAAAGAAACTAAATTTAAAATTATGACAAATCTCTTTTGGTTTTAAATGGAAAACTAAAGTCTATTCTATACATAATTTTAATGTTTTTATTTATTTTTTTTCTAACTTTTACAGTTTTGGAGATATTTGATTAAATAATAGTGAAACTAATATTGAGTTTCTTTCTTTGGCACGAAGATTATGTACTTACTAATCGTGTATTTATAATTATGCTGCCGAGACCCAAGTTTAAATCAAATAAAACCGTTTATTGTTACCTAACTATTAGAAAATTGTTTATAAGATATATAAGGGAAGTCAAGAAAGAGGCCAAGCGTAATGTTCAATAGGTGTTAGAGGCCTAGTCTTAACTCTTTGGTAATAACAAAGGGGCACATTCGATATCATACTATAAGTAAGCGAAATGGACTCTAATCTCTTACGTGCTAATATGCATTAGCTAGATCCGTCTCTCGCAGTTATACATAAGATTAACTCGGGTATTTTTGTAAATTTATGCTTCAATAATTTTATAGATTTCATCCATCCGAATGATGTAATATATTTTCATATATACGTATGTAAAATTAATTAGTAGAAGTATAATTTAAGATTATTTTAAGAATGCAATACATTTGCTCCATCGAGTGTAACCGAATTACGAATAATAACTGTTTCAAGCAGGTTTTAATCGTTCTTAAAAGGATGTCAGCGACGTTTAATTCATTTTTGAAAAGATTTTAATAGGAAAATTGAAAAATATACAGTATATATTACGAAACAAATCTAATAATAATACTAAACGTTTATTTAATTTAGATTTAAACGTCTTATTAACTTAGAATTTTTTAAAATGTATTTGAGAAAGTGCTCTTTTCTTCCGCAGATGATAGNATTTAAGATTATTTTAAGAATGCAATACATTTGCTCCATCGAGTGTAACCGAATTACGAATAATAACTGTTTCAAGCAGGTTTTAATCGTTCTTAAAAGTAAAGCTGGGTTAACTGACTTTCGGATTTTTTGTATTTTTCTCATTGCGAGAATTTCGTAAACTATGAATTAATTAAAACTTTTCATCTAAGAATAAGTAGTTTTATTTCCTTTTATAAAATACTTTTGACAATGCCACAGAAACTTAAAAAATATAAGATGGCGATGCCAGAATAACGTCCATAGACGAATGATTTCATTGGCTAACTGATTGAAATTTTGAACCGCTTACATATTAAAGAATCTATAAGTTTTATTACTTTTTATCCGTATATTATCTAATTTTCTGTAGCGATTTTCTTGTTTTCTACCTCATAACTCGTCATTCACTTAAAAATCAATGCGAATTAAATATTAAACAAATAATTTAATAATTTAAAGATTTAATTGTATTAAACATTTCATTTCACAAATTCTAAAGCAAAATCTAGTTATCGTTTTTTTGTTTCAGAGACAAAAAGATCGTTTGATTCTATTAAATAAACAGAAGTTTTCATTGTCACCAAAGAAATTCTTCGAATCGCGTCCTCTTTCGAATAATCGTTGCTAAGTCGGAATTTCGTAGAAAGATTCTCCAAGTCATTCTCAAAGAATGATTTAAAACCTCTATCACAAATTAAATCTATTTTTATCTCTAGCATTTGATCTACATTTAACCTGACCACCCACCGGTGCTAAAATCTAATTCCTCCTCTTCTCGAAATCGTATTAAAATCTCCTTCAATTGCAACACGCAATTTATGATTATAATAGTCAATTTTTTTAAAAATTTATTTCACTTATAAGTGGAATTTAAAAAAAAATTGACACATTGACGTAAAATCTATATTGTAAGTGTAATTTTAATCGATATCGAAAATTTATCCATCTTACTTTTTAAAAGTAAGATGGATAAATTTAAAAATATGAATTAAATATTAATAAATAAAAATTTTCTTTAACAGGTTTGAATAGTTCAACTATTAAGAACAGTTTACCGAGATTAAAGTGCCTTACTACCATGCATTTAGACATTTTGCCCTCACCTGTGGGAAGCAGCAATTCGCCTCTTCATAACAATCTTAGCAGTTCTGCCAGTCCGTTCGCAGAGATGTCTCCCGAGTCCAATTATATTCATTCTGCCGGAAACAAAGACACTTACGACGATGCCGAAGCGTTAATCGACAGTAATCTTCTTTGCTACAACCACGATCTTCTGTGCAACTATCCGGACGACATGCTGGCCAATCTCATCGCCACCGATCATTTGTACAGTTCGTGTTTAGAATCGAACAGTTGTCAGTCTTCCAATTCTTATCTAGACGTACTTCACTCCAACGATCTGTCTTCGATATTCCTGTCCCCTCAATCTTCGTCAATCAACACTCCACCGTCGGAAATTCCGCTTTCTCCGTCACCTATGGAAAAAGACCAAGCCACTTGCATCAAACCGGAGACACAGTTGCCATCATCCAGAGATTTCTTGGAAAGTAATTTGGGTGTCCAGATGGCTCCACCTCTTCCAACGAATTATTCCGATTTATCGTCTTACCCCGCATCATTTGCCAATCCGCGACATTCCTATTCCAGTCGCAGTTCTCGGAATAAACGTTCGCTCTCCATTTCGCCCCTCTCCGCCGAGGGACTGGACCTGAATGCCATTATTAGAATGTCTCCCACGTCACTAGTGGCTTACCTGGGTGGATCTCACAGTTCCTCTTCTAGCATGTCGCCCGCCGGGGACAAGACCGGATGCTACGGGCATTTATCCGCGCGAAACAGCACCGGTAGTCCGCAGTCCATATTTTCTAATCCCAGATTATCTTACTCGCAGAATCAATTGCCAAACATTCGGGACGAGTCTATGGGCCTGGACGGCAATCTCGCCGTGTACCAGAGCATGGAAATATTAGAATCCAATTGCTTCGTGGCCAACACCAGCGGCTCGCTCCCTTCTAATCGAGCCGTCCTTTCCCAGAACGATTCCTCCCATTTTCTGGAGAATCAGCGGGTGAAATCCGAGCCTTTTACCGAATCGTCCTGTCTGTATTCGGCGGAATCTTCGGGAAATCTACCGCCTCAAGTGCCCATCCACCCTCCTCCCAGTTACGATCAACACATGGCACGAAAATTGAAATTTCAAAAAAAGAATTCTTCGGACAGCAGCCAGAGCCAACCTTCCAGTTATTCGAGTTTCGATAGTTCGGAAGGGGAAAGAGCCGCCGATGGTACCGATACGGAACAGGGAAAACCTCATTACGTGTGTCGATGGGTGGATTGCATGTCGACGACGTTCTCTAACCAAGACGAATTGGTGAAGCATATCGAGAAGTGTCACATCGATCAGAGGAAAGGAGAAGATTTCGCATGTTTCTGGCAGAGTTGTCCACGAAGATATCGACCGTTCAATGCTCGATACAAATTGTTGATTCATATGAGAGTTCATACTGGCGAGAAACCTAACAAGTGCACGGTAAGTTCTTTGCTAATTCTATAAAATAATTCCTCTTCTTTACACATCTCTATTCGTTTCTTTTATTTAAAGACGAGGTAAGTCGGACAAATACAAACAATTCTTTTGAATTCACTCGTAGCCAAAAGTATTTCTTGTTTCCAGTTGTATCGAAGTTTTCTAATTATTTCGTGTTTCCGGCACGAAAATTAGAAAACTTCGATAAATAAAATGGATTATTTTTCATAAATATAATATTAATTATAATTAATCTGTCGATTGTAATTAAACTGTTTTCTATATCCGTTGTTATTTTAGATACTATCCTTAATTAATGATGAAATTACTATCCTTATACCGTCTTTTCCTGTAATATTCATTATGAATTACTTATAGATGATGATATTAATTTGTTCAAGAAGAAAGATGAATACGAAATGACTGTTAAATATAATCAAAAAAGTCTGTTTACACACCGGTGTTTTTACTATATTGTTATGAAATTTAAGAGGTGAAATACATAAAATATTTTAGATGAAGTACTGTAAATACATTTTCCGTATTTTTTTAAAATTAATTACAAAAAAAAAATTTTTGCTTATATCAACAATACACTTAAATGCTTTTGAATGGATTTATTCAGTTAACAATTTTCGTTCAGTTTATGCAACGATGAGAAAAATTTTTAGGAAAATGTTGCCAATTTCGCAACCTTTTCATATTAAGACGTCGATGCCAAGATTTTAATTTATTAGCTTCATTACGTAAACCTATCTGTTTAATCATAACTCATTTTTGTTTTGCCGAAACCTTTCTACTTTAAACTTTGATATATTGATTATTATTTTTGTTTTTGTTTTGAAACACCATGGAAGACCATCTGGCTTTAATTGCCTGTTAAGAAGTAATAAAATATTCTGGTATTGCAAGGAGGAAAATGTTAATTTGAACGTTAAAGAAGAAACATTAAAAAGAGTATTGTTCCCAAACTTTTAGAACGAAACCTGCAGAAACTTTGCGAATTCGGATAAGTTATGACTTAGTTATCAAAAAGTTACCGAAATAAATAGAATTTTTCTATTTTTATTCTATTCTTTTATTATTTATTTATATTTTTACATAATTTATATTTTTACATAATTTTCACGAGTTTAATTATAGTCGTAACAACTGAAAAGGAGTATACCGTTGCATCCTATCGTTTGAAGATAATTATTCATTTTGATATTCTTTCTATCGAGTTGATCCTTGACGTAAGTTGCAGGATCAATTGTTAATATAATTTTTCCACTTATATATTAAACTGTTTTAATGTNATAGAATTTTTAGACATCCTTTAGATCCATTCGTATTTATTAGAAATCTTTATAAAACGTCTATTAATTAGTTTCACTATCTCGTAGTTCTATATAGTCGTAACAACTGAAAAGGAGTATACCGTTGCATCCTATCGTTTGAAGATAATTATTCATTTTGATATTCTTTCTATCGAGTTGATCCTTGACGTAAGTTGCAGGATCAATTGTTAATATAATTTTTCCACTTATATATTAAACTGTTTTAATGTTTACGGGTCGAAAATTTTACAGAGTAGAGTGAAGACCTGCTTCGATCTTATCGGGGTTCCGATATAGCAGAAAAACAGCATTATTAAATGTATTTTATTTTTTAAATAATAAAATTTGACAAAAGTAAAGATTTTCTTACACAAGAAATGCGATAAAAGAAGTAGTTTTTGAAGCCCAGGTAATTGTGAGGTCCCACTAGGACTCGGTGATTGGGTTGGATCAATTTCTATGGGTGGTCTAAGCTTTTCACGTATATAAGTTACTATACGCAATTCAATTTTGCAGCTTTTAAATGTTTTCTATCGTTCTAGAAGCATTACTCTATAAAAGAATCGCAAAATATTTATCGTAAAATTTAAAAGTTTTTACACTAAACTCTCGTGGAACTCATTATGGAAGCGTCCGTAATTTCGTAAACGACACGAGATCTTCAACGTATACAATGCATTTCGTTGTCAGTTTGGCACGTGGCCGCGAGAATTTGCACTGAATGAGAGCCAACCCCTCTCTTCCTAGAATTATACGTCATACTATTTCATACTTCGGATGGTTTCGTTTGATAAATGCAGTTTTTCTTCGCCTACATCTCCGTTGATAAATAAAGATTGGCGTGTTTTTCGATCGGCGTAAATAGCAACTTCGAAAGACGGATGACTTAAAAAATTTCCCTACAACATTTACATAAAAAAAAAAAATTGGCAACAATTCTACTCATTTGACAGTAAAAACACCATAAATTAAAATAGTTTTTGCTAAGAAAAATATTAATTTTTAAAGAATTTCACTAAATTCGGCTACGTCACATTATTTAATGGCATTTAACTTTTTAAAATTATCTTAAAATATGATCTACAAAAACTACGTTAATAACTTTCCTATTAATTACAAAAAAGATTAATTCGGTAAATTTAATTGACATTTATAATTTNTTTTTAAAGAATTTCACTAAATTCGGCTACGTCACATTATTTAATGGCATTTAACTTTTTAAAATTATCTTAAAATATGATCTACAAAAACTACGTTAATAACTTTCCTATTAATTACAAAAAAGATTAATTCGGTAAATTTAATTGACATTTATAATTTATTGAAAACTGCGACCCAATTTAAATAAAATAATGATTAAAAATTACGACCCGGTATTGTGACGATGTCGCAATAATTGTATGATTATTCCTTAATTATTAATGTATCAGTTATGACAATTTACTTCTTTTTTCTTCAGATTTTCGTCCGCGGATAATAATTTCTTTTTTGAGGGAGAAAAACACTGTAGAAACATTCCCATTGTCTTACAATGTAGGCATTATTTATAAATATGGGAATAACGGTTATATCGTAAGACTGTAGAGATGGGCATAGGCTCTATAGTATATTATACAACTATAGTCTCTATACTTCTATAATATAATCATTATTTCTATATTTATAGTGATTAAAAGGCAATTTGATACCGATCAAAGGTAGTTTTGAATTATAGGAAACGATGACAGACAGAAAACAAAAAATATTACGCCGTCTAGACAGTTTCGAAGAAATATGATATTAGAAATTTCCTATCCATATTAAGGATAATTCCCTATAAATTTTAGGGAATTATCCTTAAGGTTCAATTTGCTACGACTTCACACTGATTCTAATATTGATAAATTCGTAAATATTAAAGTTTGCGTTAGTGAACTTTACATCAATCTTATCATAAAACAACGCATTAAATTCGTTATTATAATAGAATTGGTTTAAAATTTAACTTTATTCGCATCTCGTTATTTATTAATTAATAAATTTGCATTCCGAATAGATATTTTTTATTTTATTTTGAAAGTTGTAAAACTTCATCCTGTTTACATTTTTTGAAAAATTTGATTAATCATAGGAAGGGTTTTTTTGTTTTTTGTTATTCGTGTGTCATCCAAATTTCCTCTTCTCACGTATTTGCAGCTGTATTTTATTAAAACGATCTGTGGCAGTGAGAAACAATTTTGTGTATGTCATCCCGTGTGGTTGTTTGAGGCATATTTCGGAATTTTAAATATTTTTCTGCGTCTAGAGATTGTAAAAATTATTTCTTACTTATTTTTATATACAAATCTTGTTCGTAAACGAGATATTTATGATTTATAATAGCTACATTTGTTACACTATAATTAGAATAAAATTCCAGAAGATTTATGTAATTTTACTTTTATTTATACAAAGAATTATTTCCATAGTTACTAATTTAAATATTTTAAACAACGGATTTAATAGTAGAAAGAGAGAGGATGTTAATTTTCTATGTTCTATTTTCGGATATAGAATTTTTAGACATCCTTTAGATCCATTCGTATTTATTAGAAATCTTTATAAAACGTCTATTAATTAGTTTCACTATCTCGTAGTTCTATATATCGATTATAAAAATAAAAATTTAATTAATTTTTAAACAATGTAAGTTCCTAATATGCAGGTTGATCTACACGTAATTTAATTGCCTATCTATTATTGTATAAATATGCTTGAAATAACTTATCTTTATGTATTAATTCTAAGATTTAACACTCGATAGTAAGCCTACGTCAATATTTGTGAATTAATTCCCGATTTTTATAAATACACTGCTAATTTTATTATTACGGCCAATAAAAAGGCGATTCCTTCGCTTAAATGAAGTGTTTTCGCAACTTTGTTACCACAATTCTTAACAAAAAAGTAAGTAAATTGTTACAAATTCAAGTAGGCTAATGACAATACAGTCCTGCCAAGCACCAATTCCATACGAATAAGAGAATAAAATGACTGATACACTAATTATTCTACATGTTAATAATAATAATAATGTATAAATTATTTTAGATAATAGCGCTGTATATTCTGTAACTTATTGTATAAATATTAAAAATTGCAAATAACGTTTTAATAAAGAAAATAATATAAACATGTCGGGAGGTTAAAATGCGAATACGTGTCGATGAGAAATAAAACTTTTTAAGTTTAATAACAAAATTTAAATGTAATTATTTGCTTTTTTGCCCTGTTTTATAATTAATCTTCTTAATAACAAGTTTAAAACTAGCTATTAAGAAGATTAAAATTTTAATATTTTCAATAGTTTTGTTTAATTTAAAATATCTACATTTTTTTAAATACAGTTTATTAGTTTTTTCCTTAAATATAGGTTTTTCTTATGCAACATCTGTCAAGGACACCAGACAGTCTCCTGGACAGAAAAAAACAGAAAAAAATATGAACTAATCACTGCTTAATAGCACATTTTTAAAATTTATTTTACATTTACTTAATCATTTATATTTTATTTTAGAAGTTACCTTAATATTTGATGGTAATTATGTTTTCGCAATAAGATTGCTCTATCCGTAATTTAAATTTTAAAAAATTAATATTCTAAGCAGAACATTATAAATTTAAGCTACATTTTAATATAAAATTGATCATTTTTAAAATTATTACTTAAGAATCTCGTACGTAACATTATTTGCATTTTTGTACTTTTCTAGTTCGAAGGCTGCAGTAAAGCATTTTCACGTCTGGAAAATTTAAAGATACATCTGAGATCTCACACGGGAGAAAGACCCTACGTATGTCAATACACGGGATGCTGCAAGGCTTTCAGCAATTCGTCCGATCGAGCGAAACACCAAAGAACCCATCAGGACACCGTACGTTCTCCTTTTATTATATGATCTTGGTTATCGATAACGGAAATACTGGAGAATACCAAACAAAACAGAAAATTATACAAATTTCTTGATTATCATATTATTGATGTTATTGAATTCGACCCGTTCTAACCTTCTCTACATGGTTTGTTTTGTTTGTTTTACAGAAACCATACGCTTGTCAAGTTCCTGGTTGTTCGAAACGTTACACAGATCCCAGTTCTTTGAGAAAACACGTTAAAAACCACTCTGCAAAAAATGATCCTGCTAAAAAAAAGGTTATATTCTTACTTTTTTAATAAAAATGTTTCTCTTAAAGTTCGTCACACCGTCTTAAAACCGTAAGAGACAAAATTATAAAGTTATAAAACTACATTTTACCGATACTAAACATCTGTGATTTACAATTAAATTATCAAATAATCGAGCAAAATCAGACAATAAAAGTATAAAAAGTCGGATCAAATATACAAGAGCGACACAAAAGTCAGCTAAACAGTGTAAAATCTAAATTACTCTCTTGTTTAATTACTTCGCAAGTTATTCAAAATGAGATCAATGCACAAATTACACGACATTTCTCCAAAAGAATCAAATAAGGAATACGTAATTCATAACTTCTAATGCCATAGGTTAAACATGATTTCAGATTTCAGTTTATCATTTAGAGATATTTCCAGGAAATTTATATAATTTTCGCAGATAAGATATCAAAACTCTAGAAATAGGAGAATGTTTACTTTAATTTAGATATTTTTAGTGGGTATAATGATGAAATGCTTAGAAATATTTTTGCGTATGGAATGTAAACTCTGGAATTTTAATCCGTTAGAAAAAAACCTACAAGATTCCTTTCTCGTATTAAGCAATGTCAATTCGCGGAGTTAAACATTTCTAGAAATTTTAACAGATTGTGGCATTTTGTGATAATTTAACAACGTGGAAACTCATCGAATAATTAGAATTTTAAGAATTAAGGGACGAATACTTGCCTACTTATAATTTCTAAATTATAAATATAATGTAGTTTTAATTTTATTAAAATATTTATAATTGATTTGTTGAAATGGAAATAGGAACGTTTCTTAATTAATAAAAATTAGTAATTGTACGATAAGATGATGCAATTTACGAATTAGATTCTATATTATGAATCACAAACATTCAAAATTCTACACAGTAGTATATACAGATGCGATATTTAGATGATAATAATCGATGTCAAACTTCGTGCTTCGAATGTGCTGTAATTTGATGTAAATATGAACAATTATTAGTTTGCATTTTTTACATTTTTAACCATTTTTTCTATAATGTAATGTAATCAAACTGTAGAAGAATAGTCAGAAATTAAACTATAGAATTATTCATTTTATCTTTTTCTTTTAGAAAGTTGGATAAATGAATTTTTCTCGAGCAATTTCTGAGACGATAATTAGTACAGATTGGTCAGCGTTATAGTTTAAGCACCCCTCGTCCACATTTAGTACATAGACAATATGCTAAATAAATTTGAATTTTAGTTTAGCATGTTAACTTAATACTGAAAAAATTTTTAATTTATTTATATTAATCATCAAAAATTGGATATTTTCGTCATACGTAACGTGGTAATTTTAATTTCTGTACCAGGATTAGTTTGAAAAGTTGATCTTACGGTAAAATAACTTATTTTATGCCACGAAAAATATTGTATAAAACTAACGATTTAATTAGGAATTAAATATTAAATCCATTAAATAATACAAAACGTGTACAAAATTTATGACTATTATTTTTAAGTGTACAATGGATCACGTATTTCGGCCCAGTCCACGTTACATATAGGCTATATTATATAAATAATTATTATATATTTATGTATATATATTTTTTAATTAGTTAAGAAGCGGGATAACAGATATCGATGCAGAGCTGCTAAATGAATGTCTGATCATTCAGCCGATAGTTCCTATCTCTCAAACTGAAAACCCGCCCATAAATAACACGAGCCTTCCCGATATACATCATCATCCCAAATGTTTGACAAGTCACCAAGCAGGTAGGAGTTTTAGCATTTATTTTAATTAAGGCATGCTTTAAATACTCGCTTTATTATAATCTATTTGAACATAAGCCTACATTCTTCATTTTGTTTGGAATAAGATCGGTATTAATCTTTCTAGTAACTGTAAATTCATGATGATTCTTGCTATTTGTATTTATATTAAATCGCTGAAGGAACGTTTTACAGTAGTAAATTTCTTCGATGGTCTAAATCCTTTATCACACATGTTTGAAGTTTAAACGCATTATACTGTAAATATGACCACGCATTGCAAGAAAATGAAGTTCTGTTTAGTCCGCATTTATCAGTGAAAATTCGGCAATCACTTTTGGCTCTTCTGGCTTTATACGCAATTCAGCCGATGCAGAATTAGAAATTTCCTCATCGCCGCGATACTCATATTTTCTCCTCCCGTCGATTGCAATAAAACTTAACTTCCAGCATCTTTAGCTAGTGGTTCTGCTTTATGACGAATTAGTGGCCCATTAACAGGCTCGTTAACAGCTCATTTTTCACGAACATTACTAAGCCAAACATTCAAAGTTAACTCGACTTCACTACCTTCTCTTGACAATCGTGATCTCATTTTTTTTTTACATTTCAATATTTATCCTGCTTTCCAAAATCCTGCGTAAAATCTGGCTGTAAAAACTTAACTGTGCAGCAACATTTATTTCATTGACTGATATTTGATAACTTGTTCTAAAAGTTTGTTTTTCGAAGACAAAGCTTTGCCTTCTTGTTTGCTTCTTTCACTAAGAGGTACAGAACAGTAGTGTATTTTAATTGAATAATAGGGAAGTTTACAATCTTCAACAGTAGCAAACAATTAGCATATGAATTGAAATTTAAACTGCATTACTGTAATATATAGTGTCGAGTGCAAGGTTAAAAACGAACGTTTAACATATTAAGAATAAACGTCTTATATGATTGAATGACTTAATTTAAATCAATTGTGCTAACGTTTTTATCGCAACGACGTGGCCGGAACCGTCATTACTGTTTTGTCGTTTGGTGATGCTAGACTGTTAATCATCCAAATAAAATCAAACCTATTTTCAATAATATAACGATAATTACAAACAAATTTCTGATTACAAAAAACGAAAATTTTGTAATGTTTCATTTATTTATTGATTCAGATAATATTAGACGACTGGTCATATCCGCAAATACAATAAGCTAGAGGTAGCGTATAGGCCTATTCTGGAGGTCTAAACACTACTCTATAGGTCTAAAGTAAATATTTGAAATATAGTTCTATATTTTTAGAGTCGTACAAGAGAATAGCTTTATTTTTCATTTCCAATGTAATGATATAACTTTTAAGATTTTATTTAGGCTACTCTGACGTTATTCTCGGTATAATGTTTGACTGTTTAGCTTCTCACTGACTTCTACCATTGTTTCATTTGTACACTATTCACTAAAATAGTAGCCTACACGTTAATAGTGCATATATTTTAATTATTTGCAAATTTGCCGAATGATTGTTTATTTAACATTAGCATTTAGGGTTTTCGTCAATCCAGAAAAAAAATTATCTGTCTAATGCACAGAAACTATTATTAATTACATGTATATTATGTCTGGTTTTCGATTACAATATTTTAATATTTTATATATGTATATATATTTTTATCAGTTAATCCCACGACAAGCCACACATCAAATTTGGAAAGAAGGTCCGAGTTTGACAGGTAAAGAGCTTTTTGCATTTTATAATCTTCTAAATAGTCGTATAACTCAATATTTTAATTTTTATTATAATAAAATACAGGTTTCTTCTACATTAATATGCTTATACAAGTTTTCTTAACAGTTATAAACGTATTCTCGTCGATTAATACCATAAAGATTTGACATAAATTCATTACGTTTAACTATACTCTATTTTTAATTACAGGAGCGACACTATTTATCACACAAATTTTACGAGTAGAATTCCAGTTCTTCCACCCATAAGAAATTCTATGAAGCAAGAATTAGCGGGTCCAAAGTCAGTTAATTTATATTCATACCGCGAATCAGGTAAATATATACACTATATACAAATGCATGCCGGTGATTATGAAAATGATACAAATAATATATTTTTCGTTTGGAGATATTTTGACTTTTGACAGTGTAAAAAATTTTAAAAGGGGTCTCTTAATATTACCTCGACTATTCGGCCTACTTCTACTTATTCTAATTAATAAAGGTGAACTCCTATGTTTAGTACAAGTGCCCTATTATTACAGTAGAACCTCGAAAACTCGGCCTAATGTGGACCGAAGGGTGGCCGAGTTTGTGAAAATGCCGGGTTATCGGGAATGGGGTTAAAAAAGGATAAGTATGCGTTTTTCCTCAGAAAATACTGTACTGTACTTGTATGTATTGTTTACTTGAGAATATAACAGAGAATAAACTGCCCAAATACCCTTAAACAAAGGAAAAGCACGTCCTTTATGAAGGCATACAGCCTTTACTACATGAAAATGAAAATTAATGAATACACTGTGTACAGTAATTTATCTGATAAGACAGACCTCAGAAAAATACTTTATGAGAGCTTTTATACTTTTATAAAGCTGTCTATAATGAAAATTAATTAACTAAGGATTTTTTTGCCTTGCCAGGGTGTGGCCGAGTTATCCGGAGTGCCGGGTTATCGAGAGCCGAGTTTTCGAGGTTCTACTGTATAATTATTTCGACAAAATAAATGAATTTGGAAAAACTAAAACAATTATCTACTGCATTTAATAATATATCGACTATGTTTATGTTTAGTCAATTAAATTAATCGGCATGTAAAAACGGTGGATGAAACATTAATGGTGATATTGGTGTGTTAAAAATAAATCTTTTTTATTTGAAAAACTGTACTTTAAAAGAATTCGACTGTGGAGGATAATAATACAATTTTACAATAATTTTTATATAAAATTAATTATTAGACTACATAAGATCATACAAATATCATAAATTGGAAGGAGTGGGGAGGAGGATTTGGAAAAAACCAAACATTTCGTTTAATATTCCAAAATGGAGAAGATTGTAATAAAATTTGGCACGGCAGCTTGTGTATAAGGGACATTAATGCTAGTAAATTTTGGTGGTGAAAGGTCGAGGGGGTGGAGTGATAGAAGAGGTCACGTGTCATACCGCGAGTGGGATAGGACTTAATGAAAATGTTATGTTATTAGCATTTACAATGTTTTATGAAATTGGTTACTACCCTCAAAATTAAGCTTTTTTCTATTCGATAATAATTAAAAATATACAAAGTTTTCATATATTTTGTTATGAAAACAAAATATAATAAAATCTCATAACAGATGGCGCCACATACATTTTTATTTATTATATTGTACTAACAGCCTGGAAAGTTACGCTACTGGTTGCTGGATTTTTTTAATTGTTTAGACTGTATTTAATTAAAGCTAATTTCTACGATAAACTACGAAACTTTGATTCTTATTATAAATGTTACAAAATATTTTTTCTCTTACAGATTCCACTGGTTTAATGAATAATTCTGTTAAAGATTCTAGGAAAATATCTAGCAATTTTCCATCCGTTTTCAAACAAGATCCGGATGATTTCCAAGGAAATGTTACTTTACCATCACTGGATGACATGACAACAAGCTTTACTTCGTTTGATTCTCTTTCTCATTTTGGAGGGTAAGATTTTCGTAATTATTTCTTTAAATGTTATAATGCTTTTAGCAAGAAAGATACAGAAAATCGAAAGATTTCGAGTAATGCGATAATCCTGTTTAACCACATTAATTACATTATTAATTTATATTATTATCATTTAATGACATTATCTGTGCCAAAAATTTAGAATCATTTTTATTGTTTTGTCTGTTTTTTTCTCTTATTTGCCCTACTTAAATTGGAATTTCGAAACTTTAATAAAACGTTATTATATAAATTAATCCATATTTGATAGAATATTTGGAAATCTTAAATTCTATTATTTTATCAACAAGCTGTAAACTAATATAAATAGTCAAGGTTTTCTTTTCTCGTGGTTTGAAACAAATGGTTAACATTAACGTCCAAAATATCGGCTTGTAAATTAAATTATAATAAAATTCCTCAAATTGGCCACCTCCTTCTAAATTGGAATCTTTTATAAATAAGAGTCCAATTTAAAGGGAATAATTTTAATATATATTGTAAAGGCCGATAAATTATAATATTTAAAACGTAATTTAGGTTTTCGTGTGGCAAAGAAAGCGTAATAATGTCTTAGATTGGATTAAGAATATTTGTCATTAATACATAATTAATTATTTGTCCGCTTGCTTCCAAAAAGAATCAGTATTGAAGGGCGACAAGTCACGTCACTCATTGCCTTTAGGCGAACTTTAAGTCTGTACGTTCTCGTAATCCGGCACCCTCTGTACAGTACAAGAAATAGCCGGATTAGTAAAAGTTTAGTGTAGTTAATTACATTTTGAAAACCAGAAAATAGTGTTTCCTTTTTATTGTTATAAAAATATATTTTTTGAAATAAAATAATATTACTATTATTTTAAACGAAAAAATAATTCATATTTTTCTTGTAGGATTTCCTGAAAAGCTGAAATGTAGCGAATTTTTTCGAAAGAGTTAGTGCATTTTATAGCACCAGAGTTCCGAGTGAAAATAGTTTACATTAATGAATTTGTCTCTAGGCTCCGTAATAATTAAAATCAAAATATATAAGAAAATATAAAATGCCTTATCGAGACAATTTTATAATCGGCACGGAAGAAAACTGTGACATTTTACTTTATTATTTTTAAGAAAACGGACGTAATATTCATCTTCACAAAGCATCGGATACGGTAAATTGTAGGCAATTGCAACGTGCCACGGCTCCAACAAAAAAACGGAACGGTAAAATTTATCTTTTTCTATATATTCTTCATTTAAATCAGTTTATAAAATAGGGATCAAACCGTAAATTATATAATTCTATCGCTTGATGAATTTTTAAGATTTATTTTTATAGTATGAAACTATTTGAATGGATTATCGGACGAATAATTAAAACATAATCCGAATAAACTGTCGAATTTGTAATTGTAATTGCGTCAGAATACACTTAAAATATGATCTTTAGTCCCCGTAATCGGTCTACAATGGACCCTCTAATGTCGTTTACAAAGAAGAAATATATTTCGACGCACAAAAACAAAGATGTAAATATTCTATTTTGCATTTATAATGAAATCTTTTTTCATATCGAGAAAATAGATAGCGATAAATATGGATTGTTCGTTGACAAAACGAGGCAGCTTTATCTGTAATATTTTCGTAAAAATGATTAAAAATTTTATTAAATGCTAAGTATGATTTTTTGAATAATTAATGTATAATTACCACGTTTTTTCGACGCAATATATGTAATATTTAACAAAAATGCTAGCACCAGAGTTGTAATAATGTCTTAGATTGGATTAAGAATATTTGTCATTAATACATAATTAATTATTTGTCCGCTTGCTTCCAAAAAGAATCAGTATTGAAGGGCGACAAGTCACGTCACTCAATTGACTCGATTTAGCGCTACTATTTGTTCGTCTCTGAAATTGCCACTAAATCGAGTGTGGAGTTAAACAACGTATTGTATATCAGTAGCGAGATTAACACGCAAGTTCCAGTTTGAAAGTGGAGTACATTTAATAATTAGCAGATGCCAAAGGGATATTTTACATTTAGGGAGAAGATTCGCTCGCGAGTATTCATTGGCGCTTTATAGGATGACGCTATTCAGAAGGACTGTATAAAGTAAGTAACAATCAGATAATACAGTAATACCAATACATTACTTTATTATTATTAATTTTATTTAAAAATTTAATATTTCGAATAATCAGGAACTGATATATTGCATTAATAAGGTATCGGGGACTAGTAATATAGATAGATTGGAAAAACAATATTAGATACTCTTGTTACTTAAATAAATATAACTATTTGTTCATTAAATTAAGTTTCGAATGTCGACGTCCATTCTTGTAGTAATATCCACACAATAATACCTTTAAATATTGAGAAGCTTTTATGAATGCTTAAATATCTTCAGTGACGTAACACAAATATTGAAAAGCATCAATATTTAAGTACAGATATTTCAAAGATAGAAGAAATAAAAGTTAATTAAAATTTTTTGAGAAACATTTAAGATTTTATACAGTTATTTGGATATATTCAGAAAAATTTCGTAGATTTTTTCAAATTGAATTTTCTGACTTGAATCAAACTTTCTAAATCTTGAATAAATGAAGCAAAAATTTCTCACCGTACATTACAGAAAGACTTTTCATGGAAAATTTTAATAGTTATCACTATTAAATTATGAAAACTATTAAAGCTGAAATGGAATATAAATTGAATAACTTAAATTGATATTTCCGAACTAATTACTTCAATTCGTATGATAAAATAAGATCAATGACGACAGAACGAAAATTTGATGTCAGGAAAAACAAGTCGATCAATCTTAATAATGGAAGATGTTGGCTTTTTTGAATGATATCTATTTTCTTGAATATTTCGCTTTTCTGGGCATTCATTTATCTCTATTTAGCTGAGAAGAATCGCATAATATGGTTAATAAAATAAAATGTGGCACGCAACAAAATGAATTGTAATGTATAAGTTGCATACTAAATGTAATAGTTTTCACTGGGAGATTTCACGCTTGACTCATTATTCATTTTAATTATTAAAAATTATTTTTTTTTACTTACACAGTTATATAAAGAATTGATAATTTAGCCCCAAAATGAATATTTCTACTCCTCAAATTTTTTCTATAAATACCTCTTATATTTTTAAATAATTAATTTTCTTAGAATATGCTTAAATGTTAAAACGCTCTTTTAAAAATTTATTGTTCAAATATTTTAAAAACAATTTAATTAAATATGTAATTAATTAGAAATATTCGTAAGCCATTATAAATTTGTTTCATAAATTTTATATTACAAACTAATGAATATTTTAAAATAAATGATATATTTAAAAAATGCGAGTATAAAGAAGTCAAAACTAAATGTTTAATTGAAAACTCGATATTCGTTATTAAATTCCATTTTAAAATACGGGGTGGCTCAGAAGTCAGTTAACTGCGCTTTGGTTTTCCTGCCTCAGGTACAGTACACTAGTAAACTATTTTTTGGGCCATACCCAAATTTAAATAATGACATAATATGTCTGATAACAATGTCTATTATAAAAAATTTTTCCGTGGCAGCGAGAACAATTTTTATACAACAATATCAAACATATTAGTAACAATATTGTTTAATACAAGATAAACAGTTACTATTTTTAATTATGTAGGCCTGTACGTTTATTTAATAGCAGTTCATTAAGATATTTTAACGTTTATTTTTAAAATATTGAAATATTTTAATGATTTCAATAAAACTCCGAGAGAAACGGAACGTCACATATTCACAAGTGTACTCGGAACACAAAATTCATTTACTTTATTTATTTCTTATACATTAAACTACAGGCAAAGTCAGTCGCACGGGATAAAAATTGTGTCTACTATTAAGAATTAGCGAACAAACTTGCCAAACCCAGGGATAATTGTATTTATCAAACAATTTAAAACATTTTCAGTATCTAACTATTAATCTTTTTAATGATAACTCGACAATACACGTCGAGTTGAACTTTGCTCTTTTTTATTTTCTTTTCTTTTTTGATAGATAAAAGGAAGTAATCATTCATCACTTTAATTCACCTTAAACCATTTATTTAAGAATTTCACATTTAATTTCTATTTTTCTAACAAAAGATTGGCTACAAATTTTGAAAAACGTGCTTTTAGTTAAGCACGTTTCTGATTTATGTCATTTCATTTTGTAGTAATGAGGTTTCAAATAAAAATTTTAAATAATTTGGATAAATATGTATATCACATTATATATAGTGTACCACATTAAAGAGTGAATGACACGTATTTCGAGTATGTTTAGGCATGCTTGAAATGTATATCACATAAACATTGATAAATATATATAAAGAATTTTTCACGTAAAAAACTTGAAATACGAAAGAATCGATCCAAGTATTTTTAGTTTAAACAAATAAATGACATCTATGAGAATATTTCTTATACCTACAAATAACTTTCATTTTCTTTTTGTTTTTAAATTTCCTTCAACGACGAAAAAGTATTTTTAAGATAAAAAGAAAAAAAAATTCTAAAGGTTATTAACGGAGGAAATTACTGTAATTATCTCTTTTTTTTCGGCACGAAAAAGTTTATCGTTTCGGGTGACTGGAATTGGCAAAGGATAGATATTTCCGACGATAAAAGGAAAACAAAAAGGGCTAAACATCCTCGAAATTATGACGAAAAGTTTCCTTAGTAGATACTTCACAGACTAGAAGTAGGTCTTATTTTACATTCATTTTTAGTTAGTCATAAAATATTTAATCCAATATAAATATTATCAATATAAAAAAATGACACGAAATTTTATTTAAATTATTTTGATGCACCGAAAGTACAGACGATTCGTTTGTAGTATGAAAACTTTATACGTTACTATATTTATTAAAGAACGACCGTAGTTTATCATTAAGACGGAAAATTATTTAAATTTCAATTAAATCGAAAGCCGGACTTAAAACTCAGAAATAATGCGAAAAAACTTGGAACGTGTCACTTCTAGAGAAACACAATAATACATTGGGCTTTGTCTTTTATACAGTCGACCCCCTATAACACTGTTGATTTTTCCACTTTATATGAATTTCATATGACTCGTACAACATGGAATTCATATAAAACGGAAAAATCAACAGTGTTATAAGGGGGTCGACTGTATTTAATCTTAGTCAACGAATGGTTCGATGTAAGATCCTCCATCCACGTTACGGATATAGCCGAATTCGTGGCGAAAGAAGCTCCTACAAAAAAGAAAGTGTTTTAAAAAGTTAATCCCGTTGGTACATATCCTTAATTAATCGAATAATCGATTATTTAACACCAGAAAACTGTCCGTTCCGCCACGATTACGAGCCGATCTACAACGAGATCGGCACTAACGAGATCGTGTCTCGTCTCATATTTTTGAGCCGAATTTCGTACGCTATACGGTGGTAATTTACCGATTTATCGAGCTATTTAATTAAATAATCGATCGAATCGATCGAAAGCTTAAGTTATCGTCCAAGTAAAAATAAATAAACGAAATCTGGTAAGAATAGAGCGAGTACTCGCCGAAAACGCGGCAATTTCTAATAATCATAAACGGATTTCTATCCGTTAACAACCGCCAAATTCGAGACGAAATTATATTACAATAATTTAAATGCGGTATTATTACGATTTATTTAAATAATTTAAGAATAAATATTCGTATAATTTCGAAATCCGCGTCGATGTCGGAATAAACATTCGATTAGTTACCATAACAACAGAGGTAATAATATTTAAAGATAAAAGTGGATTAAAGTGACCGGTTTTATAATAATCCGTCTTATTTTTTAGATACAAATAATAATTGATCTTCTCAATTCATTAACTCGATCAAATAATAGAAAAAGGAAATTTCTGGAAACTGCGCAATAAGAAACCGGCGGTTGTCACGACAACCGGGAAAACATCGTCTGCTTTCTCCCGGTAGAGAATTTTCAATTATTCGCCTTCGGAATGTCCATAAATAATTCATAAAGGTATGTATTTAAGTATATTTGTATATTTTACTCGATAAATGTAGAATTTCGGTCACGGAAGAGAATCTTTTATTTTATTATTTATACGTTAAAGAATGGCTGACATTTAATATAAAAATTTACAACTTATTAATATATTATGTTTATCAATCGATGGTTCGTTATTTCATTTCGTTAATATTGTTCTATGCTGTAATATAATAATACAGTAGAGCCTCGATTATCCGAGCCCCGATTAACCGACACCTCGGTTAACCGACCGTCCTAGTCGGCAAATTTCAAATGTCCGCTAGTGATATGGCGNAAAGGTGAACTCCTATGTTTAGTACAAGTGCCCTATTATTATAATTATTTCGACAAAATAAATGAATTTGGAAAAACTAAAACAATTATCTACTGCATTTAATAATATATCGACTATGTTTATGTTTAGTCAATTAAATTAATCGGCATGTAAAAACGGTGGATGAAACATTAATGGTGATATTGGTGTGTTAAAAATAAATCTTTTTTATTTGAAAAACTGTACTTTAAAAGAATTCGACTGTGGAGGATAATAATACAATTTTACAATAATTTTTATATAAAATTAATTATTAGACTACATAAGATCATACAAATATCATAAATTGGAAGGAGTGGGGAGGAGGATTTGGAAAAAACCAAACATTTCGTTTAATATTCCAAAATGGAGAAGATTGAAATAAAATTTGGCACGGCAGCTTGTGTATAAGGGACATTAATGCTAGTAAATTTTGGTGGTGAAAGGTCGAGGGGGTGGAGTGATAGAAGAGGTCACGTGTCATACCGCGAGTGGGATAGGACTTAATGAAAATGTTATGTTATTAGCATTTACAATGTTTTATGAAATTGGTTACTACCCTCAAAATTAAGCTTTTTTCTATTCGATAATAATTAAAAATATACAAAGTTTTCATATATTTGTTATGAAAACAAAATATAATAACAAAATCTCATAACAGATGGCGCCACGTACATTTTTTTTTATTATATTGTACTAAAAACAAAAGTTATTTTCTAACAGCCTGGAAAGTTACGCTACTGGTTGCTGGATTTTTTTAATTGTTTAGACTGTATTTAATTAAAGCTAATTTCTACGATAGCCCACCAGTGCCCGAGTGGTCTTCGTACCCTAAACACTGGAAGTTCGGTCGTGGGTTCGCGCCGCGATCGGACAGGCTGGCTGCTTGGAGTTTTCCGGGTTTTCTCCTTGCCAATAACGACTAAATAGGAGGCCAGTTCCCCATAAAAGTCCTCCCGGAAGGCATTAGTTCCCCTCGCGTAACATCGCGCCCCAGAGAAGGCAACGGGAAACCACTCTGGGTACTAACTTTCCCCAGTAACGCCTTGGCGTAGTGACTAACTACTTACTAATCTGTGCCGGGTGTGGCCGAGGTCGGGAAAACCTGATATGGCACTATGAGATGAGAATTTCTACGATAAACTACGAAACTTTGATTCTTATTATAAATGTTACAAAATATTTTTTCTCTTACAGATTCCACTGGTTTAATGAATAATTCTGTTAAAGATTCTAGGAAAATATCTAGCAATTTTCCATCCGTTTTCAAACAAGATCCGGACGATTTCCAAGGAAATGTTACTTTACCATCACTGGATGACATGACAACAAGCTTTACTTCGTTTGATTCTCTTTCTCATTTTGGAGGGTAAGATTTTCGTAATTATTTCTTTAAATGTTATAATGCTTTTAGCAAGAAAGATACAGAAAATCGAAAGATTTCGAGTAATGCGATAATCCTGTTTAACCACATTAATTACATTATTAATTTATATTATTATCATTTAATGACATTATCTGTGCCAAAAATTTAGAATCATTTTTATTGTTTTGTCTGTTTTTTTCTCTTATTTGCCCTACTTAAATTGGAATTTCGAAACTTTAATAAAACGTTATTATATAAATTAATCCATATTTGATGGAATATTTGGAAATCTTAAATTCTATTATTTTATCAACAAGCTGTAAACTAATATAAATAGTCAAGGTTTTCTTTTCTCGTGGTTTGAAACAAATGGTTAACATTAACGTCCAAAATATCGGCTTGTGAATTAAATTATAATAAAATCCCTCAAATTGGCCACCTCCTTCTAAATTGGAATCTTTTATAAATAAGAGTCCAATTTAAAGGGAATAATTTTAATATATATTGTAAAGGCCGATAAATTATAATATTTAAAATGTAATTTAGGTTTTCGTGTGGCAAAGAAAGCGTAATAATGTCTTAGATTGGATTAAGAATATTTGTCATTAATACATAATTAATTATTTGTCCGCTTGCTTCCAAAAAGAATCAGTATTGAAGGGCGACAAGTCACGTCACTCATTGCCTTTAGGCGAACTTTAAGTCTGTACGTTCTCGTAATCCGGCACCGTCTGTACAGTACAAGAAATAGCCGGATTAGTAAAAGTTTAGTGTAGTTAATTACATTTTGAAAACCAGAAAATAGTGTTTCCTTTTTATTGTTATAAAAATATATTTTTTGAAATAAAATAATATTACTATTATTTTAAACGAAAAAATAATTCATATTTTTCTTGTAGGATTTCCTGAAAAGCTGAAATGTAGCGAATTTTTTCGAAAGAGTTAGTGCATTTTATAGCACCAGAGTTCCGAGTGAAAATAGTTTACATTAATGAATTTGTCTCTAGGCTCCGTAATAATTAAAATCAAAATATATAAGAAAATATAAAATGCCTTATCGAGACAATTTTATAATCGGCACGGAAGAAAACTGTGACATTTTACTTTATTATTTTTAAGAAAACGGACGTAATATTCATCTTCACAAAGCATCGGATACGGTAAATTGTAGGCAATTGCAACGTGCCACGGCTCCAACAAAAAAACGGAACGGTAAAATTTATCTTTTTCTATATATTCTTCATTTAAATCAGTTTATAAAATAGGGATCAAACCGTAAATTATATAATTCTATCGCTTGATGAATTTTTAAGATTTATTTTTATAGTATGAAACTATTTGAATGGATTATCGGACGAATAATTAAAACATAATCCGAATAAACTGTCGAATTTGTAATTGTAATTGCGTCAGAATACACTTAAAATATGATCTTTAGTCCCCGTAATCGGTCTACAATGGACCCTCTAATGTCATTTACAAAGAAGAAATATATTTCGACGCACAAAAACAAAGATGTAAATATTCTATTTTGCATTTATAATGAAATCTTTTTTCATATCGAGAAAATAGATAGCGATAAATATGGATTGTTCGTTGACAAAACGAGGCAGCTTTATCTGTAATATTTTCGTAAAAATGATTAAAAATTTTATTAAATGCTAAGTATGATTTTTTGAATAATTAATGTATAATTACCACGTTTTTTCGACGCAATATATGTAATATTTAACAAAAATGCTAGCACCAGAGTTGTAATAATGTCTTAGATTGGATTAAGAATATTTGTCACTAGCTGTTACCCGCGACTTCGTCAGCGGAGGTTTTGCAAGCAAACCCCATTTACATCCAATATTTCAATAACCATAGTAATTGTTATATAACACCTACCGCTGAAGAGAATTGCCGAAAATCAAACGAACTATTTTCAATTTGATNAACACTGTTGATAATTCCGTTTTATATGAATTCCGTGTTGTACGAGTCACTTAGATTTTACAAATACGTGAGCCGTTCACAGCCCGGCACACGTATTTGTAAAATATAAGTGATTCGTACAACATGGAATTCATATAAAATGGAATTATCAACAGTGTTATAGGGGGGTCGACTGTACTATATTTCCATCAATTTATCCCGCAGAAGCGATCCAAGAATCTCTATACTTTGTGCAAATACTTTCCGGTCAGGCAATGCGAATGATTGTAAATACTTTGTGCAAATACTTTCCGGTCAGGCAATGCGAATGATTGTAAAATTGGTGTCGATGAAGATACAGAGCTGGTGGGAATGACGCGCGTTACATTTATAAAATCTATCCGTTGTCTTAGCTGTGTCGATTTCTTAGCCGATAAGGATGCCTAGACCGTGCACCCGACCTCCGATTGTGTTCTAGCGGTGGGCCCACAAAAGTAGGAGGGCCTACGGTCGGCTTCTGGCAGTACGGCCGTGTTACCCGCACGACACTATAATTACTTGGACTACCAATCGGACACACGCGGCATCCCTCGAGCGTGGCGAAGGTGATGCGGAATCGTTCCTCGCCCTTGCCGGGCTACCGGCGGATGCAAAATTCCATTCTTGGTCTCCCTCGAAACTCCTACCACTAATCAATTTTTACCAGTTGTTCCGTTTGGAGTGACGGCATCATTTAGTATTTAGTGACGAGGTTCGCTTCTGCCTGGGAAGAAATAACATGGCGTTGGTGATTGTGGGTGAGACGATTCGATCGGGTCGTAGTAGTGGAAAGGCACGCGAAGGGTTTTACTGTCTGGAAACCAATTCCTACGATCGCGTTGCGCTTTAATAGCGTAGCGTTACGTCGAAGACATTCTGTAATTGTATTACCTTTGCTGGCACATCTTCCGGGGATAAGTTAAACTGAAATTTCGATTTTTATTTCAAATATTATCGGCAAAACCTTAGAACGGGAAGCGTAGACTACTTCGTTTCTTCTACGTTGTATGGTTCTCGGATTTCTTTCGTTACTTTAATTTCGAGTATGTGTATTGTGTCATCAACTCCCTTAATTAAGTTGACTGTTACGAAGTCCTCGAAATTGAAATAAAGTTTAATTAGTTCTGCTGCGTGCCTTTTAAAATTTTGAATCTAGAACAAACGGCATCGTTACAATGCCGGGCTGCAATTGTCAATCATATTGTAATTTAAATAATAAATTTATCGTTCTATGTAGCGAGGTAAAAATTTTGAATTTAATTTGTATGACTTCCGGTCGATTAGAAATTTATATATAGTTAAGTTTAAAAGCCTGAGGCCCCGATTTCCGTTCTCGAGATTATAAATTCCCACTGTCGTCCGTTTTCGTTAGTCTACAATTTAAACATTGCAAAATTATTGTTCGTATTTTTAAAAAAAATCTTTTAAAATCACGATGCGGATGGAGCGAAGGAACGATAATATATTTTCTTTCCAACAAAAATAACGAGAAGACAAGTCTTTAGGAGGCGAGACGAGATTAAAATCAAGGTATTCGAGTGTGGATGTGAAATTTCCGTAAATTTTACAACTTCCATACAGTTGAATATTTCCATGGCATTTTCTATTGTGAACAAACATATATATATATATATATTATTCGAGAGATAATAATGTAAGGATGTACAGTACTTCGCTAAAGCTTTAGTATAACAAACCTTGAAATTTTAAAAATGATACTCCTATTGACAAACTGATTTACTGAGAGTGTTGATGCACAAACTTGGTTAATATACTCAGCACTTCGTAGTTTTATCTCAAAGTACATTTGGCGATAACAGCTTTACCATTAATTTAAAACTTTACACGAAACAGCGACAACAACAACATTTAGTTGTAAATTTAAATGTAAATCTCTCCTTCAAAGAGAACTTAGACCCAGAAAAACTGATTTAAGCATTGTCTACCGATTAGTATTTCTTATAATACGGTGTACAAAACGCGCGTAGTGCAATTTAGTATCTAACCATAAATTATTCTTTCGGCACTCCAAAATCGGGTTTTTGTTTTAAACTGTGGCAAAAAAGTTTGCCATCAATTACAGTTGCAGTATTTCTATGCCGAAATAGAAAGCCTAGGAAGGTTAGTAAAATGAAACACTACTTAGGAATTTCTTAGTTCGGTATTGAACGTAACATCTTCATTATAATTTTCAAAGTTTTATTTCGAAATTTAGGTTAAGTGTTTATTAAAAATTATAAGACCACGTGCCTTTTGTAAACAAGATTTCTTTTCTATGAAAAAAAAATACTTGTACAAAACTCAATTTGCAAAAAACAGTTGCGAGTTTTAATACTTTAATCGAAATACAAAAGCATGGAAATTTGCCATTCTAGCAAATTATATTTCGAAATGCATTTAGTATTCCTCCCCCTCTTCTTCACCTCCTTCCAGAGAATCCATTCCCACTTCTTCGTAATCTTTCTCCAGAGCAGCCAGATCTTCTCTGGCTTCCGAAAATTCGCCTTCTTCCATACCTTCTCCCACGTACCAATGAACAAAGGCACGCTTGGCATACATGAGATCAAATTTGTGGTCCAATCTAGCCCAAGCTTCTGCAATAGCAGTAGTGTTGGAGAGCATGCAAACAGCTCTAGGAACTTTTGCCAAGTCACCTCCAGGAACAGTGGTTGGAGGCTGATAATTTATTCCAACCTGTCGAATAAGAAAAAGGACTTGACTATGAAAAATGTGAATTTAATTACAATAACTTCGTTTTTAACAAAAATATTAGTTTTAATAATAATATAGTTTTAAAGTTTATTTTTACAGCTTTAGGACAAGTTTAAGGCTTGCCTGTTTAATAGAATCTGTTTAATAGAATAGTTTAATAGAAAATCTGATCAGCAATATAGCCCATAAGTGATAGGATTTATTATACACGGCACTAAAATTTCACATCACTTATGGACTATTGATGATCAGATTTTCTATTAAAGACAGTAAAAACAAAAGAGAACAAAAAAACCAGATTTTTACTCAAATTTAGATAATTAGATTAGTAGTCAGGTATCGAACAGGTTCTATTCAATTATTCAAATAATCTGTTGATGTGAAATACATGCATTAGGAAATTTAAAGAAACAATAAAGCTAACCATTTGGACACATACCAAACTTATATGTAGGATTTAGCTTGATAGTCAAATGATGAAAAATAAATTTAATGTTTAAAAAACTTCTCATAAGTTTAAAATGGCTAGCTTATACAATAAATTTCAACTGAAATTCTTCAATATAAAAAAAATTAATAGTTGAGAATACCTTTGGATTATGGTCATTTGTCTTGATCTTATCGAAAGACCTATATGGAATGATAACTAAATCTTCTTAAAAAGGATTTTAGTTAAGTCACTTATTATTGTTGGACATAATTTGAAATGAAAAAACTAACACTGCTCAATCTGCATCTTTATGATAAATATACTGTATAGTAAAATAGTATTCATTTAAAGTCCTTGAAAGTTCTAACTTAGATCTGTTCATTTCTTAATCCTTTAGGAAGATGTAGTCTTAGTTGTTTGTATCCAACAGTCATATATGACTGTTTATTTCTACTATAAGGGTCACTTTAAAAAAATAGGAAACATAGTATAGTTAAAAGAATCTTAAAAATTGTCTAATAGTTACTTTTTATCCCAAACTTTTAGTAGATGCATTAGCTACACTTAACATTCTAGAATACCATTTAAGTACATGAAATTAAAGGCATCCAGTGGAAGATAAAAGCGTTTTTACAAAATCAACTCTCTATATAGAGTTTTATTCCAGATTTAAAAAGTATTAAGGTTGTTAAGATCGTTGCCAAGCATTATCTCTCTCTCAAAAAAATCGATTTAAAGTTAGTAAATTCATAATTTTACTATAATCAGTGTGCTTCCACCAATGAATAAGCAGGAAAACTGTTTATATTGTAAGAACATTCTACTATATAGTAGAATAATGAAGAATTAATATCTTTTGTACAATGACAATAACACTAAAATCCATCACTAGACGAATCGTCTAGTGATGGAGGGGAAGTTTGTTGCTATTAATTCTAGATCATTAAAGTAATTATTAAAGCTCACCTTGAAACCCGTAGGGCACCAGTCTACAAACTGGATTGATCTTTTGGTTTTAATGGCAGCAATGGCTGCATTTACATCCTTAGGAACAACGTCTCCTCTGTAAAGCATACAACACGCCATGTATTTGCCGTGGCGAGGATCACATTTAACCATTTGATTTGCGGGCTCGAAACAAGCATTGGTAATTTCTGCAACCGTCAATTGTTCGTGGTAGGCCTTTTCGGCAGAGATAACGGGAGCGTAGGTAACTAAAGGAAAGTGGATTCTGCAAAAATAAAATCCATCAGTAAAATAATATATATTTGAAAATATTTCCACAAAACGCTTAAATTATACCTGGGATACGGTACTAAATTAGTCTGGAACTCTGTCAAATCAACGTTCAACGCCCCATCAAAACGGAGAGACGCGGTTATGGAAGACACTATCTGACTAATAAGTCTGTTCAGATTAGTGTACGAAGGTCTTTCTATGTCCAAGTTGCGTCGACATATATCGTAAATTGCTTCGTTATCAACCATGAAGGCACAGTCAGAATGTTCTAACGTAGTGTGAGTCGTTAAGATGGAGTTATACGGTTCAACTACCGCAGTGGATACCTAAATTATAAGAATGTTTTACCACAACCAGTTTTTTTTTTTTTTTTTGTTTGAGTAAGACTTTAGAAACATACCTGAGGTGCGGGGTAAATAGAAAATTCTAGCTTAGACTTCTTTCCGTAATCCACAGATAGCCTTTCCATCAATAAGGAGGTGAAACCGGAACCGGTGCCTCCTCCGAAGCTGTGGAAAATTAAGAAACCTTGCAATCCCGTGCATTGGTCGGCTAATTTACGAATGCGATCCAACACGAGATCCACAATTTCCTTTCCGATAGTGTAATGTCCTCTGGCGTAGTTATTCGCGGCATCCTCTTTTCCGGTAATCAGTTGTTCCGGATGATAAAGTTGACGATAGGTTCCCGTTCTCACCTCGTCTAAAAGTAAAAAATTCGGACTCTTAAAATTCGGGCTTTGGCGGCGGGGAAAAAAATCGTTAGATTACTTACCGACAACCGTAGGTTCCAAGTCGACAAAAACGGCTCTGGGAACGTGTTTTCCGGCTCCGGTTTCGCTAAAAAACGTATTAAAGGAATCGTCTCCACCGCCCATAGTTTTATCACTGGGCATCTGTCCGTCCGGTTGAATGCCATGTTCCAGGCAGTAAAGTTCCCAACAGGCATTACCAATCTGGACTCCGGCTTGACCGATATGAACACTTATACATTCACGCTGTATCGAAAAATTAAAAAATACGTTTTGTTCCCATTCCTTATTTTTATTCAGAAATTTTGCATGGGGTGTTCGGTATGTTTTATGCCACTCGGAATCAGAATTATGCAAATTACGTAGATTAAATTTCTTGTTTATATATAATATATAAACAAGAAATTTATATGCCGTATATTATGTATATATAAATTTCTTTAAAAAAAAAATGCTTATATATATAAGCATGTACTGTACAGAGGAGGATAAAAATTTGAATCGAGACACGGATCGACTTTAAGATGGAAATTTGGAACAGATGTTTATATTAGAGTTTAAACAGTTAAGTGGAAATAAAAAATAAGAGTGTATTCGGACGGGTGAAGTTAGAGTATCGGACGTCTGCGCAATTATTTTAATTATAAAAAGACGCAAATTTGAATAATTCTTCGAAGTGGATATTGGATAACGATTTAACGTCGAGAATGGCGACGGACGGGAGGAATGGGTTAAATGTTACGACAGACGACGGTTAATTAAACAATCCGGCCGCGGAGAAGAGTTTTACCTTCCGCACGCGCCGTAAAGTTATTAGAATTAGGGGGTGGCCACTTCCGGGAAGTAGAAGAATTTACCAATAGCGTTTAAAGAGTTAGACGTTAATTTCTCCAGATAAATTTATTTTATCGTCGCGAGATAAATAACTCGTGGCGGTGCGGAGACGTCGTACTTTCGACAGTCCCCGGCCGATAGGCTACCTCAGTTAATTAAGGCGGAGTTTTTCCCGGAAAATCCGACATTTAGTCGTTGTGTGAAAATGTGTAAGTAATTAAAATACGACCCGACCCCTTTACAAAGAAAGATTTTGTAAAGTTTTACTAATATCAGATTATAGTAGCGCGGAAAAAAGAAAAATGCCGAGTGTCCCGAGAGACGAGGACGGGCGATCTTTACTGGTAGCGTCGGTCGTTCCGGGTTACCGCAGAGTTAGAACAATAGCGTTTCTATAAGCGGGGACCGGGATCAAACGTCCAACGTCGAGGGAGAGAGGATAAGGTAATTTTTTGGAGACGTTTTTCGTCGTAAGTAGAGGCGGGGTCTTTGTTCGGACGGAAGCGAATACGTGGCAGGAAATAAGAGTGGGGCGAAAAGGGAGAGTCAATTAACGACAAAAGACGCAGAAGGGGGGCCACGACCCAGCGGCCTTAGAGAAAAAAAGAGCCGTGGGGAGGAAAAGGGGAAAAACGACCTCCGACGGAACCGGAAGAGGAAAAGGGAAGAAATATTGGGAGGTTTAACAGAAAAATAAAAAGGACCGCCGACGATCCGGAAACGGCCGGGCCGTACGGAATGCGGCCGACGGTCCAAATATGGTAAAGCCGGTCGTCCGCATCGGGGTGACTCATCGGACCGGGAGCCGGGCGGCCGGCCACCGCCTTCTTTGGCTAATTAACGGTGGAAGGGCGGACGGCGCGGCGTTAAAGTTAAGCGGACGAAAAAGCTATCCGAAGCCGGAGTAAAGGAAGGACTCACCATTTTCACCAGGGTTAAGAAGGGCGTAGACGACAAACAACAAAAAGCTCGTGGCTACAACCAAGCGACGATTCTTTCCACGAACGACGAGTGAAGCGGTGGCTCTCCCGCGCCCCTTATAAAGGTCGGCCGCCGTCTCGCTCATTGGCTGCGCCGGATGACGCGTCGTCCCGCCATCCTGGGTTCTGCGCACCCGCCTCCGCCCGCCGCGTCCGTTGTATTGCGACACGTCGGAGGGTGACGCATCCCCTCTTCGGGGAAATCCGCGGTCGACGGACTAAAACCCCTCCGGATTACGGACCGAGACGAATAATCCGCGGCTAATTTTTAAAGACCTGCGCGGAGGATAACACTTGGTTGTTTAGTTCCTCCGGGCCGGGCGCGGTACCCGCCACGCACCCGGCAGGGTCGGTGGACCGCCGGAAGGAGGTTCGTATTTTCCGCCCTCCCCCGCCGACGGCAAAGTGGAAACGACCGTCGGCATTCGACGGAGCGTGGCCGACCCCGACTCCGCGTCGTCGTCAGACCGCGGCGGGGATCCGGACGGAAGAGCTAAAGCCGCCTCGACGCTTAGGGTGGAGACGCCCCCCACATTTCGCTTCCGGGGGAGGAATACGCCAGCGCGGCCGGCAAAAAGTCGACGTCTGGCTCGACCGGTGTCCGACCTTTTTTGCGCGAGAAAATTTGCGTCTAATTTGCAAATTTCTACGTTCTACGTGTAATTCGGGGAATTTGTTTCTACCGAATTTTGGCTTTCCTCGGAAAATAATCCGAGTCTCCCGGGCTACTTTCAGGCATTGTGGAAAACTAAAACGTTAATTGGATGGCCAACGGTTTAAAAATACGTAGAGCCGTAAGCTGGCCCGAGTGGGAAATACGCCAAGAATTCGATCCCGGCCGGTCCGACGGCAAAATTAATTACACCCCCTCGATGTTTAATTAATCCACTCCGGCCTTTCGCTACCCACCCCCGGGCTCGGTCGGTCCTTCCGACTTTCCTACTTTTATATTAAAAATATCTCTTCCGTCGTCCGATCGGCACGCTTATACGTCGTAGTTAAAACTTACTTTATTAGTTAATGGGACGTATTTTACCGTATTACCGATACGGCCTATTAATTGGCCACTATTAGCCCGGCGGACCGTAATCTTAGGGAAGAAACGGTCCGGATAAATTATCGATTAGCGAAGAATTAGATTTTGTTATTTATGTTAGATAAATTACTCTTCTCGTCGCCATTCCCAGTTATTTTATAACGCGTTTGAGACGAACAATTACGATTAAACCCCATCTTTTACCGTTAAGATACAAGTCGCGTTAAGTGTCGAAATATTTGTCGCGCGTAGCGGTGTACATTTGTCCGTTTACGCCAGCCTCCCGTTCGAAGTAGAAAGTAAGTAAAATCGCCGCGGCTACGTTACGGTAGAAGAGGACGGTAACCGGGAATAAACCACCGACTATTGTAGTTTATACGCGGAGGGGTAGACTTTTACGGTAGTCGTAGACATTAAAATTTTACGTCCGGATATAAAACCTTTTTTTTTATCCATTTTTCTATATAAAATTTAGGAGGCTTATAAGGCGCGAGTAGCGAAACCGCAGGCGGATAATTTGTTAAAACTATATTATTTTCGTGGGCGGTAAAAAAATGGAGGAAGGTGACGGGCTTAGAAATTTAGATGCGCGGGCGCGGTCGGTTAATTACCTAATTAATTTCGTCTTCTACCCAAAATATAATAAGAAAAAATAGCTTTTAAGTATTTTACGCTTTGCCTCGGTCATTTACGTCTCGGAAAATTACGACTAATTCTGATTAATGAATCGAGTAAAGGGGAAATCTATTCTAATTAATGTCCGAACGCGCGTAGTGAAAAAATTAAAGCCAATTATAACGCCGTATTTCCATCTACTTTATCTGCAATTGTGAACGCGTTTCCTTCGCTTTTTATTGTAATTTTTTTTAAACTTATATTCGCCCAATGCGTACGGGATTGGGTCGTGGCTCGAAAGGCCCGCCCGCCCTATCCGAACGGCAACGTAGATGGGGAGCGAATTACCGGTAAATTGTTCTAGTTTTCTTTCCCCACCCGATTAACGATAGAAAATAAAGCTATAAATTAATTTATTGGCGAAAATTGGCGTGATCCAGACCGCGTTCGAGTCTCGATCTGTCGTAGCCGCGGAAAAAACCCTTATCGAACGGTTACGCGTCGTCGTTATAGGAAGATAGTCGATTGGAGCGCACCCCTTCCCCGCAAAAATTAAAAGAAATGTAATTTTACGAGATTGGCAGAAAAGGGATGGATAAATTTCGGTTTCCATTCTACCGAAATTGTACTTTTTATCCATACTATTTTTCCACGCCAATGTAAATTACTACAGAATTTTGCATTTTTTACTTTTCGTTTATAACGGGAATTTTCTAGACTAAACTTTAACAATTAGGCGTTACTATTACGTAGAATCGAGATTATAAGTCGCGAATTTAACTTATAGAATTACGTTATTATATCGTTAGAATAAAGCGAGTTATAAAGCTATCGGATTTCGAATACGGAATAAACGCATGAAATTAAATATGGACGACCTAGTGAAACACTTGGCTCGTCGCGGTACTCTATTTAATCAGTCGTAGCTCTATAATTTATAGAAATAAAAGAATAATAGTCGATACCCGGACGTATCAAATATTCATTTACGACCGACTACGCTTCCGTCTAGCAATTTCGGTCTGCCTACCGTAACTATAAAATAAAACTTTACGGATAAAATGGCAACCGTTAGAGATTTATAATAATACGTTTTTGTTTTAAAATCGTCGATTTTCTCGTGTAATTTATTATTCCCAACGGGCGGTAATGGTTTGGGGAAATTCGGTGGAAAACTAAGAATAATGTGAGAGAAATGTACAATATCCAGATGTTGGCCTAAGCGTAAACACAACACGCGACTCGAATTGGTTACGCCGCCTGGAAGTAACTAGCGCAATAAGTTTGGGACTAGTTACCATCGCTGGCACGCGACTTGTAGACAATCTCTAGATTAATAAATTACTCGACTGGGTTCTGGATGTAGAACGACGACGTCGAATTTCGAAAAATTAATCGTTTATCCACGGTAAAGATCCTTCTTAACGACGACTGGGGATTACGACTAGAAAGTTCGATTAAGGTTTAAAATATTGTCCTATTTTCCGAAAGGCGTAAGATATTATATATAATTATTTTGATTTTAGTCGAGATAAAAATATGAATTACGGAACGGCGAAAGAAAAATATTGGTGTCAAACGTGTCGGAACCGGCAAGAATTATAAAACGGTCCTTAAGAATCCACCAGTCTCCGCCTAGGAATTACAAATAAGTCACGATTTACGCTAGGGAGAAGGCCCCTTCTCTCTAAACCCACTTTCGTACGTCAAAAATACAAAAAATGTGCGTGCCCGACAAAATTACCGAGAACATTTGGCCTTAATATTTATATACATAAACTATAATGTTAAAAACGTTAATTAAATTCTTAAAAACACACACACATTTTAACATTTGTTAAATTAAGATTGGTAATGGAATTTTAGTAATAAAATATGTTAATTAAATTTCGGTAATAATAATAATAAAATTCCGTTAGTCCCTTTATTTAAGCATATACAAATTTTCCATTAGCGCTAAGTATTTTTTAAAAAATAAAACGTGGCCCAAAATTCGGTTAATCGTGTTTCAGTTTGCTCGTTTCGGGTACACCCGTGAAGTAGGAATATCAAATTGAATTTGTTAATGCGTGTAATTTGTGTACCGGATAAGAATGATCCACTTTTTAACATTTTAGAAAGTAAGAAATTAATACGAGTAGAATAAGAGTAATTTAGTCTTTAATATTGGCTCGGCCCACCGGTTCTCGAGCGAATAAAACCACCCACCGGTCGCGGGTTGGCGCTTCGTCGAAGGGCCCTAGAGTTTGCGGGTTTACTTCGCGCATTCGACACCTAAATAGCGCCCGGTTTCTGGTAAAAAGTCCTCTCGGCAGGCATCTCCCGCCTTATAAGATACCGTAAATCGATTTTCTATAGACGATTAAGCAACTTTTGGATCACCCCGTATATATTTAGGATTTCATTTTTTAAAGTACTGTACGTATCAAACTGATTTTTATTTCGGAAACTCCATAATTTTAACACGAAACTCTTACATTATTTATTTATAACGGTGAAAACAAGAAAAATGATTTTATCTTCCGTTTAGAGTAATGTATGTATGTACGTTTGTGGTTGGGTCTTCTGCAGATAAAGAAATAATAGCGATAAAAAAAATCTGACACGAACGAAACAGTGAAAAAATTTATGATAATTTACTCCCTTATGGTTTCTCTATTCGTAGAAAAGGTAAACTTTCGTTCAAAATTTGAATATTTCTCTAAAGCGATTTAAATAAATCAATAAGTCGTTCTTTGCGCAAAAACTTGATACCTCGCCAACGGCGTTATCTCGCATCCAATCTTTATTATGGAAGATTTCCGAATGTCAAATAGTACCGCCATATCTATGGCACGAAATTTAAACGTAAATTAAATATTACGTATTATCGCTATTAAAAAAGAAATTTAAATTTCGGTGTTACCGTATTAATTAAAATTACGTTGAATATTCCTCCCTCGACGAAATGAAAAACGTTCTTATTATGTTTTTGCGTTTTCCGAATCGTTACGAACTACATTTTTTGTTCTCGTTGGCTGCTATCTAACCACTCGTAATCGATAATGTCCGGTACTTACGTCGCACGCGCCGTAACCAGTTAAACGCGTCTTGATAAAATTTGAATTGGAGCCAATGAAAAAGCGCGTACAAATTATACAGTTTTTTCTCTTCGCCGGGTAAACTTTTTTCTTTTATAATTTGTAAACAATTTCCGTTCATTCAACGTGTCTTTATCTTTCGAGAAGGAAAACTTTTACTTTACTGTTTCCTATTATGATTAGGGTTTTCGTAATTAGCGAGAAACTTTAAGGATCGGACTCAATTTCTGTTTTTTGTCGGCCAGTGACGGTTTTAGGCACCTCGGCGCCTATAACGTAGTCGTTTTTCTTAGGGCCTGGCACTTTTACGGGCCGCCATCGCGCGCCAAGATAGGCTGGCGGATACTCGG